ATACCATGGCACTATAAGTCACGTTAAATTAAGTTGTTGAAATTTAAGCGACTTAAGCTATAATCTCTTTTAAATTCGGATTTGAATAGAAATACAAGATGGGTAACAAAACAAGAAAATTGTTGTCCACTCACGATCGAAAGAAAAGTTATGAAGTATAAACAGATTTTTCTTTTCCACATTCCACATTTGAGAATGACACAGTTCATACTTCATACATGAATGATTTGGGACTAATTTTTCTTTGATTCGACTGCTCCTTCTAGACTAGCCATTTTTTTTGTTCTCTTGTCGTTGAAAATTCAGTAATACAGGGTGAGCCGGACATTTCATCAAAACATGTCCTGGGTCCACGCATGTTGGTGAATCGTTTTGGAATTGTGCAGAAAAAATATATTTGGAATTACTGAGTTAGCTATTCTTCAACTTATTTTTTACCACAATCCAGTCGATTAAAATTTGTTTAGGGAACTTAGACTCTTTTTATATTTATATGTGTGTAAAAAGGCAATTTGGGGGCTTTCTGAGGGAGGTGAATTGGGCTCAAGGGCTTAAAGTTTGGATCTCATCGGATAAGTGGAGCACTAATTTGTAGTAAGTTTGGCTTCAAAGGTAGAGAAGAGATTTTTAATTAATTAAATTATAATATTTAAATTTTAAATATTATAATTTAATTAGTTAAAATATTTTTTTCTCTCTTCTTTTCTTTATTTATTTATTTTTTTAATCCAGATATATTATTTTTTTGTTTATTTTTAATAAATTTAGTTTAATTTTTTGATTTTAACTTTTAAGACACAAATTTTAAATAACAATTTAATAATTTATATGAACAACAATTTAATTTTTTTTGTTTCTATATAAAGTTTTTGTTAAGTATTTTTATTTGATAAAAAAAATTTTAATTGTTGTTTATATAAATTGTTAAATTTTAATTTAAAATTAATGTCTTAAAAATAAAAAAATTAAATTAAATTTATTAAAAATAAATCGAGAGAGTATTATTGATCACCTATGCTAGGATTAGAGTTCAATTAAAACTTATATTTTGTAATTTAACTCATTAAAGTTACAATTAATAAGAAAAAAACACTTTTATTGTTTCTTAGTTAATTTCTCATTTAGTTCCTTTGAGCTAGTGAGAGTTAATCAATGTGACAATGATGGATGGAAAAAGTCTTTTTTTTTGGGGCCTTACATATGGTTGAAAAGTACAAATGCTTAATTGGCCTATAATTAAGTTTGTGGACTGAATTTGGGGAAACAAGATAAGTTAACGGACTACATGTTTTCTACAACTAAATTTTCGCACGGTGAGTCTATTGCCACCCCTATATTTGTTAGCGCTACTAATTTATTATTTATTTTTTTAATAATTAAAAATAATTAATAATCAATACAAGAATTAATATTTATATTTAATAAATTAAAATTAATTATTTAAAAAATTATGAAGTAATAAAATTACAAATAAATTTAATAATAAATTAGTGACCCTCGTTCAGTTAATAGTCGCTGTAACATCACCCATGAGTCTGGGGTGTCCATTTTTATTTTTAGTTTTTACTTTTTTTTTAAATTAATTTTTTTGATATTCCATAATTATATTAAATTTTTATTAGTTTAAAATTCAATCACATTAAATTTTATAAAAAAATCTCTCTTAATATTTATTTTTTTATTTATAAAAATTAAAATAAAAATTTTACTTAAAAAACCTAAATTTTTTCTACTTTAACCAATGTTAATTTTTACTTTTTCTTCTTTAAGAAAAAATCTCTCATAAAACCATTGTTGTCAAAATCTAGATTTAAATATTAAAATCTTACGATTTTATGATTTTAGCAAGACATTTCGTGTAAAATCTATACTAAAATCTGAAATTCATAAAATCTGAGATTTCACCGTAAAATCTAGATTTTATCGTGAAATCAGGTGAAATCAGGTAAAATTTTGATTTTACCTTCTGTTTGGCAACTGGACTTTTAACCTATTTCCTTTTGGACTTCTCATCTTGGGTTAGTGAGTTTTGATTAGATAACCCATAAATTAAGCTCATTTTTCATTTTAAAAGCCCACAATCCACACAACCCAACCACAAATCAACTACAAATCAACATTTTAATTGAGAATTCGAGACAAATTTGATTTAACCATATAAAATTCTAAATTTAAGTCATCTTCTTCGTTTAATTTATTTGCGTTGTTGGATATTTAGATTTTAATTAGCTAATTTCA